TTGCTGAGTTTACACACCTATAATATTCAAATAACGGAACTTAACAAAAAAAGGGGATTCAGATGAATGTCCATTTTGTATCTGTGTATTCAGAATGGTTAGGATAGATATATAGTTACATTCTCTTAATGAATAGAGTGATTTGTTCTAATGGTGTTTGTAAATAGGATATCATGTCCTCATCTTGTACAGCAATTAACCACTGGGAGGAATGTATGCAATGTGTGAATTATTGAAACTGTCCTACCAATTTGATTTGAAACTGTCTCATTGCTGTTTCTCAATAAAATTATGAAAAAAAATTATAGTCTTACAATTAGTAATGAATTTGGATTGTGGTTTATCTAAAGAAACAAACTATTCCCTTTGGAGTCCCCCACATAGAAAGTGAAGTTGTATTTTTTCATGGTAACAGGTAAAATATTACTTCAAAAATTATGTCACCTTGGAATTAGTGATGAATTTAGGTCATGTTTTACCTAAAGAAACAATTAACTGCTTCCAGTGTGGTGCCCCAAGTAGAAAGGAGAAGAGCCCGTTGGGGTTGCTCCACTACGAGGACCGGGCTGGAGAGGAGCACAGGCAAGTGGAAGATCGGATGAGCCCGAGGCAGGGCACTAGTCAGTCTGCTGTCGGCTCACAGTCATTAGGAGTATGGAGCTAGCCTCCAAATCAGGAGCAGCCGAAAGGGCAGAGCAAGAGAACTTGGGAACTGAGCGCACTGTCGGCATCCCGTGCAGAGGCAGTGTCACATTGGCAGGTCTGGTCCTGTCCCACAGACCAGACCATGCTACTCTCTTGCAGTTCTTGGAAGTCTCACTGTTTGCAGAAAGAGTCTAGGCTGCCAGGGGTGATGTTCCATGTCGTATTGGATTAGTCACAGTCTTTTTTGCTAACTTTTTGCTGCCCCTTTCACTATTGCCACAAATAGTCAGAAAACTCATGCTTTTTTTCCAGAATAGCACCTCACACTTTCATGACACTTACTTTGGTTATTTGCTAAATCTATAGTGTTTTATTCTTACTGAATTTCTCCTGTTTGCCCCATTTCTGTTGAAGTCCTCAGAAGATAAATCATTCACATTAGTCAACTAGAAAACATAGTTTGAGGACCTTGAATTCTATCATTTGTTTGGAGAATAATAATTAAAAATCTTATGTAAGATATGTGCTTGGTTTTAGAAAAACACACACAGTGGCCGGGGAGATGGCTCAGTGGAATAAGCGCTTCCCTGGCAAGCGCAAAGGCCTGAGTTCAATCCCTGGTTCTGCAAACACACACACACACACACACACACACACACACACAAATATGCTTGGATTTATAGTTTTTCTTTTCTGGGTTTTTTTTGGGGGGGGCGTTGTATTTTTATTTATTTTAGGGAAGGGTCTACAGGGTGCTCCAGGTCTCACTACTAGATTGGACTCATAGTGATCAGCCTGTTTACAGTCTCCCAAGAACTGCGATTACCCAGTCTCAATTGTGGTTTCAGTGTGCCTGGGCCCTGCGCCTGCTTGCAGGCGCTTTAATCCACTGAGCTATTTGGCCAGCCCTTATAGTTTTTCTTTTGTGTTTAAGTAAAATAATGGTTTTGACTAGAGTGCCTGCTTGCTGTCTCCTCAGTGTGTGACAAACCTCCAGGTCTAGGTGCAGGAAGCTTACAGAATGCTAAAGGAGCTTGGGACAGATGAACTGTGCGAGGCAACCTTAGGGACAGTGTGAGAGCCTTTTGGATCCGTGAACTAAGTGAGCTTTGTAGACTGCAGTTCTCATCCAGCTACCTCACTGATACACAGCAGGAGCCCAGAAAGGCCTCTGGATCCCTTTTGAGTAATAACAGAATAGTATACTCTCTCCCTAGGAAACACATGCAAGAGAGCTGGGAACAACATGCCAAAGCATCCTCAGTTTTGAAAGTATTTATCTTGAGAAATTTTTAAAATCATACAAATATTTAAAGCTTATACAAACAATAATATAACAGTCCAAGTTCTGTTACTCAAAAGTGACAATAGTGCTATAATTTCTCAATGTTTTTAATAAAATAAGTGAAGTAATTAATACATAAAACATTCCATCTGTTTTTATCCCATCTTCAGTTCTTCATGAATTTAGAGTAAATGTTTCGTGGTTCTTTTCATATGGATATATGAATGTTGCTTTATGTGTTTTAAAAGATTTACCTGAGTAGCTTGGATTGGTGGTGCATACCTGTACACCCAGCAGTTCAGAGATTAAGACAGGAGGATCACTACAAATTCAAGACCAATATGGACTACATAGCAAGACCTGCCTGGAAAGGCCAGGGAGATGGCTCAGTGGAATAAGTGCTTCCCTGGCAAGCGCAAGGGCCTGAGTTCAATCCCCAGTTCTGCAAAAAAAAAAGTAAATAAATAAAGTTTAAAAAAAGAAAAACACCTGGGATGTGGGGTGCCTGACTAAACTCTATATTCATCTTGCTCAAAGTATTCCTTTAAATATGAAGTTCTGTGTTCAATTTTTTTCATACATGTGAATCTTTTATTGAAGGTCTTATTAAGAAGGCTGGAGCCAGATGTCATGGTTTATGCCAGTAATCCTAACACTCTGAAAGGCTAAGATGGGAAAATTGCAAGTTCGAGCCCATCCTGGGCAACTTAGCAGGACTCTATCTCAAAATAAATACGTAGAGGACTAGGGATGTAGCTCAGCTCAAAAGCCCTGGGTTCAGTCCTCATACCAAAAATGAATGGCCAGGGGAAGGGGTGGAGGAAGGGAAGGAAAGGAAAGGAAAGGAAAGGGAGAGGAAAGGACAGGAAGGGAGGAAAGGAGAGGATGGATCTCAGTGGTAATGCATATGAAGTCCCAGGTTCAATCCCCAGCACCAATGAAATAATTTTTTTTCTTATACACCCACAGCATTATGGCAGATTTTTGAAAAGCATGTTATGGAAGATGTATAAGTCCATGTTTATTTTTTAGGAGTAGGTCTATTGATGAAATTTTTTTTCCATCTGTGTATTTGGTTTAGGGTCTAGAATGCAGCTTAGACTTAAGGGTCTAGAATGCAGCTTAGACTTTAGGGTCTAGAATGCAGCTTCATCCTCCCCAGTGCTGGGATTACAGGTGTGTGCCATCGTGCCCGGGCTGGTTGCTGGCTCAGCACGCCCTAGGAGTGGGTACAGCACAGCATGCAGGAGGGGGAATCAAACCCTGGCCCCTGCACTTGCCAAAGCAGACACTTGGTTCACTCAGCTATCTTGCTGGCCCTGAATTATTAATTTTCATTTTATGTGTTTTATTAAAATGTGTACTTACCAGGAAAATAAAAGATAAGTATTTTCAACATCAACTATTTACTTACAAAATCTAAAAAATAATAGCATAAATAAATTTCTGTTGAAGTACAATGAAAATACAAATAAAATACCACAGAAATAATCTTTGTTTCACTTATCACACTCACTGTTTTCTTCCTTATCTGAATTAAGGTCTTCAGTCTGTACTTCTGTCTGTCATAACTTACTTCTTTCACTTATATGATCCAAGTCATCATTGGTAACCAAGTCACTTAAAAGTGGATTTTCAAGCGGTATTATTATTGAATTGGGCTAATTATACAGGAAAAATCAAAAGAAAACATTTTTAGAAACAAATTATAAGTACACAAAAATATAACACAGCACATACCATGGGTAAAACTCAGCACTGTTCACACTTTGCTGTTCATTAGACCAAGTGGGTGAGCGCCAAGACTGTCTCCTGTATTCTCCCAGTGCAGCTACTGAGACACACAGCCGGCTCTCATTATGCTGAAGTACGACAGGGGCATCTTTGAAATAATGGTGGGCACAGAGTGGGACAGTTCAGCCACCGAGGAAATCAAGTCTGAACTGTATGGTATCTGCAGACTCAGTTGCAGCACGAGTTTCCAGTAGTGCTGATCTCTAGTCTTACCAGTTCTGTGGTTGTAGAGTATTTGCAAATATTGTGTACGTAAAAATATACAGTTGAACTTACGTATTTTTATTCAATATTTAGCTAGATGTGTGTATAAATATACGTATATATATATTAGGCTGTCATGCGTCAAATACATAGTTAATCTTACACATTAATGGTAATGTGCATGTAGTAAGAATATTTTCTAGTTACTTATTTTGAGTAATTTGAAGAAAAGTATAGAACTGTATGAGTCCAAAGAAGTATTCCCTTTCTATCATGGTTCAATAAAACCCTGTTCTTTTCTCAAAGCAAATATTTGAGACTTCAGCTTCAAGGTTTTGTTAATTGTGTTTTTATGCTTTCTCTTAGTAGATTGTGATCTCTTTTAAGACAATTTTCAATTAGATTTTGTTTTTCAGAAGAATCTGAAAAATAGTTCATATGTGACAGCAAAGAAAGATATTTCAGTTCAAGACTGCTAATATGCAAGAGACAGTCTAAAACACATCCACTTAAGCCTTTAAGTTCTTTAAACAGAGACTATTGAAAATAAAGCAGTATGGCAGACTTTCTTAGTTGTCTGTTCATATAAATTAGCCTAGGTCAGTGCTCCTCAGTGTGCCGTTGCAGCGTCAGTACATCACCATCGCGGATTGGGAGGCCCAGATTCTTGGGCTCAGCCCAGCCCTCTGAGTCAGGAGCTCAGGAGGTAGGCCCGGCAGTCTGTTGTACAGGGCTTCCGAAAGATTCAGTTCACATTCAGGTTTGAGAACTACCAGCTTAAGCAACAGTAGTTCATGAAATCGTGGAAAGGCCATGGCTTAAGGACAAACAGATCGTATTTGAACTTAGATCTGTGACTGTCAACCTGTTACATGTGAGTGTTGAAATTTTCACCTGTAAAATGAAAAATGATAATACGTTCCATAACTTTTGTGGTGATTGATACACTTTGAATGCCTAATAATTCAACTGGAACATTGTAGGAAATATGGTTACTACTGTCACTATTTTTCCAGTATAGTGGTTACTTTTTCTTCCAGAGTTAAAGTGTGCTTGTATTTTTTGCTTTTAGATCCAAATGCTCAAGAAATTAAGGACATCTATGGACTGCATGGTCAAGTACAACACAAAATAGCTTTTCTGAGAACTCAGGTACCAAAAGATATGAAACTCATCCTCATTGGCCATTCAGTAGCCAGCTATATGATTCTTCAGATCCTGAAATATGCCCCGGAGCTCCCAGTAAGTATGCCATAGGAGGTAACTGGGGGTGCCTGATTACCCACCCGCACAAACCTTCCAGGACTTTCCTTTGCTCTTTTATCTCTGGCTTAATACATCTAGATAGATAGAACAGAGAAAGGGAGAGTTGGTGGCTGCCTTTACCCATATCAATTATGTGGACCTGTGTGAGTATATGTTCATGGAATTCCCATAATGTTTCAAGGAATAAAGAGGGAGGACAGGAATATCTAAAATGAATGCCTTTGAATCTAGGATTATCTGGAGTTCTGATGTTACCTTTAGCTTGCTGTCTTTCATAAGGGGATATTTAAGAGCAGTTATCAGCTAAGACATGGATAAGAACCTTACCTTGATTGAAAGAGTATTTTGAAAATAGAGCTTCTCTCAGAAGCAAAATTCCAACATCATTAATAGACTACCACTATAGAACACTAAATCTTTAGTCTCAAGTCTGGCTGCTTACAGATTCTTGGCTTGTCAGCCTTTTGAAACATGTTTGTTCATTTTCACATACTTCTTGGTTGCTGCTATGTGTAGAAATTAAATGAGACACTAAAGTCACAGAGAGGGTCAGGGAGATGGCTCAGTAGAGTAAGCACTTCCCTGGCAAGCGCAAGGGCCTGAGTTCAATCCCCAGTTCCACAAAAAAAAAAAAAAGTCACAGAGGTATTTTTGAAGTGAGCTGCAAGAGACTTAAACAAAAAGTTACACTTTGACTAACATTAAAATGACCCACTGGATGATGTGCTTGATAAGATTATGTATTTAACATGTATGTACCAAGGACTGCCATGTATCTGGCTCTAAACTGTTTTGAAGACATCTGTAAGAGAGCCTGGAGAGTGGTGAAAAGACAAGACTAACCTGTGGTGGTGATAGCTGTCACCTCTTGTAGGGCAGGGCATGTGGAAGCACACAGGGGTGCTATCTAATCTAGTAATCTTAAGGCAGAAGAGGAAGAGGCCCTTCCTGCCACCTCTGTGTAGGGTCTTGAGGTTTTCCTTCTGCATAATAAAATATTTCCCAGCAGGGTCTCAGAGTTCCTTAGGAATTTGTTCCTTTTCCTGCCAGCTTGACTCATCACTTGTTATAGCCCTCACAAAAAGCACAATTATAGTCTTCCTGGCTGTGGATTTTAATTACAAATGGAGGATTTTAATTTTCTTTTACTGGGTATTAGAAAATACATTTTTCATTTCTTAGTGAATTCAATAAATTTAAGATTGTGTTCTAATATGTATTCCTGCTTCTACTGTGTTGGAGTTCTTTTCCTAAATAAGGTGATTTAAAATAGAAGCATGGACTTTGCTTTTGCTTTTAGCCTTTCATGTGGCTTCTAGTATCGCTGGTTCCTTTGAAATCTCTAGCACCGGGCTATGTGATTACCATCTTTCTAGTTTTCAACCCTGTCTCTTAGTGGCTCCACATGCATAATTGCTGTGAGCTCTAGCTCTAGAGCCAAGACACTTAGATTCAGATGCTTTGGTGCCCTTGTACAAGCTGTTGAGTCTCTCCCTCACTTTTCTCATATGTAAACTAGCAACAATAATATGTTTAAAATATTTTTGTGGGGAATTATATCACACATCAGGAATGGTATCAAAAGTTCCAAATACTATAAATACTATCTACTATTATTTTTATGGAAATGACACTAGAATCATTGGCTTGGTCATTAAATTACCTTATTTGTTATCTACTGCTGTGTATCAAATTGCCCCATTGTATGAGATGTGTTATAGGTAGAGTTTACAAGGGAATAGACTTTTAATACAGGACACATAATATATAGGATTATTGTATAATATTCACCCAAAAGTCACATGCAGAAGAGTGCAAGAGATGTCCACACATTAGAGGTCCAAAGAATCCAGCTGAGGACCTGGATCCCACAGCAGTGTCCTTCACAGATCCAGCTGGAGTCCTAGAGCCCACAACAGTGTATCATGCAAGTCTGTATCAAGGATCTATACTGGGAAAGCCTAGAGATTAGTGGTGGAAGCTAGAAAGTCTACTTTAGCGGGATGAAGGATTTGTGCCAGCAGGCTGAAGGATCTGCACTGAAGCCAGAAAGTGACACTAAAGATAAGGACCAGAGCTTGCAGCCATCCTCAGGGACAGCAAGGATCCAGGCTCCTCTGGTGATGAGAACAGCTGCGTTTATATCAGTAAAACTAGGGTAAACTCTGCTCCAGGAGAGTCATCAGAATGTCTTCCCCACTAAATCTCCTTTTATGCTGCTGGCAGCAATCCTCGGGTGGGCCATCCACACCCAGAAACCTGCTGACTCAGTTCAACTGGATGTTATAAGTTGATCATTAGTTAATCTACCATAACATGTGATCAGAATATGCAGAGAATGCTTACATTTTTAGCAGGCTGGGGAGATAGTTCAGTAGAATAAGCACTTGCCTGGCAAGTGCAAGGTCCTGAGTTCAAGCCCTGGTACCACAAAAAAAAAAAAAAAAAAAAAAAAGAATGCTTAAATTTTTAAGATTTATTACTGTAAGGGACACACTGCCATTTATTTCCCTCAAAATACTCCCCCTTTGTTATATCTAAGTGTCCCCTCCTAGCCTCATGCACTCATAAGTGAGGCTTTTCAGAGGTAGCTGGCTCTAGGGTGTGATACTGGGATTATGGATACATGATAACTAAATTGGTTTAGCATAGTTCTCAGTGTGGATAACGGAAGCCCTACCATGGATGTGAGTAGCACCAATCAATAGGCTTGTAGCCTGGATGGGATGTAAGGGGACAGAAAGAATACAGGCTGCTGCTTGCTGCCTTCCTGCCTTTGGCCTGCTCTGCCATGGGCTGCCTCCTCTGAAGCCACTCTGCCTTGGATCCAGCCACCTGTGGACTGAAACCTCTACAAAAATGTAGGTGTTGGCCTACTCACGGAGGCCCAGGGGAGATTTTTGTGGGTGAAGTCCCAAGGCTAAAGAATGTACTTGTGTAAGAAATCAGCAACAGTAGCAGGCAGCATGGAGCAGAGCAGAGCACAGGAGCCACTCAAGTATTGTATAATTCTTATACAAGTTGTTATGTCATATTTACATTCTTACATAATGCCATAACCAGCACGCGCTTTACCTGTGCTAAGTCATGGTTATGTAACTATATTCTACTATATGCCTGCACTAGACAAGCAGGGTCACGTCCTCAGGTGTCCTTAGGCACCCTGAGCTTTGAAGCAGTCTGAGTGGTTCCCCACTGTGGGCCAAAATAAATCTTTTTTCCTTTCACTTGTGGCAATTATTTTGTTTCAGCAATGAGAAAAGTAACTTAAGACTCCCTGGTTTCAGACACACTTATGGCATTGTTCTTGCCACTTGCTTAAGCAATTCTGCAATCCTCTTTTGTGTGTGAACAAGGCATGATCAAACATTTGGTGAGTGCTACTGCTGAATTCCAACCCAATAGAAAAGCAGGCTCATAAAAACAGTGATGTGTCCTCAGCCACCAGGTTTACCATTTATAGCACAGTGCGACTTCTGGCTCTTAAAGTCAAAACGACCATGAAAGGTAAATATTTTGAGTTGATTCAGGACATTGAAATAGCTACAACAGTGCAACTAAAGACACAAAAGATTTCCAGAATTGTTTCAGAAAGTGGCAAGAATAATTGGATAATTGTGCTTAAAATAAGAGGGAATATTTTGAAAGGAATTAATGGTAATGTATGTTTTACTATAAAATTCTAAGAGCTGGCCAAATAGCTCAGTGATTAAAGTGCCTGCAAGTAGGTGCAGGGGCCAAAGGTTCAATTCCTGGGCCTGCCATGTGGACCCCACCCCCAGGGCATGCTGAGACAGCAATTTTTTTTTTTTAATTTTATTTATTTGTGTGTGTGTGTGTGTGTGTGTGTGTGGCCAGCTCAGCCCACCAGGGGGCAGGGCTGGCTGGCATGTGGTGCTGGGGGATTGAACCGCGGTCCCTGTGTTTGCCAAGCTTGTTCCAAGTAGGTGCTTTAGACCACTGAGCCATCTCACCAGCCCCTGAGACAGCAATTGAGATTGGGTATAGTGGCGCACACCTATGATCCCAGCACTTGGGAGGCTGTAAACAGGAGAATCACTGCAAGTCCAGTCTACTAGTGAGACCCTGAACACCCTGTAGACCCTTCCCTAAAATACAGGAAAAAAAAAAAAAAAAAAAAAGTAAAATTCTAAAACAAGATTTAAGCATTCACTTTTGTTTTGATCAAACTCATGACTTTGTACTTACCAGGCAGGTCACCATATATTTTGAACATACCTCATACCTACAGTTTCCAGTCAGAAATCTAGCCACAGCTTAGCTGAGTCGCTACTTAAGGGTTTCTCACAAGATCGTAATCAGCCTCCCCTTGGGTTGTGGTCTCATATGAAGACTTGACCTGAAATAGGTCTACTTCCAAGCTCACTCATGTGGTTTGTTGGTGGGATTCAGTTCCTGAGAGTTGCTGGAGTGAGGGACATAATTCATTCCTGGCATTTGGGCAGATATGTTACTGAAGATGGCCGCCTGTAGCTAGCTTCATGAGGGCAGCCTAGCAGAGGATCTAGAGAGTCTGCTGGCAAGATGGAAGTCACAGGCGCTTAACTTAGTTACAGATGTGACAGACCACTTTTGCCTGTTTGTTCTTGTTAGGATCAGGTCACTAGGTCTAGCCCACACTCAAGGGGGGCAGTTACACAAAGGTGTGAATTCTAGGGGGAAGGGGTATTAGACACCATGTCTGAAGCTGCCTTCAGTCCCTACTCTAGAGCTAGAATTTCATCAGTGTGATATACAATTAAGCATGTAGGTATAAAAATATATAAGTTAAAATATTGGATTTATTTCCAGGTAGAGACATGACATAACCCTGTTTTTAAAAGATGTCAGTAAATTGATATGAAATTGGAATCCTTTATCAGTTATTTGTTTACATCATTATAAACATTAAAAAGGATTGTTGCATATGTGAAGTAATCACAGCATTACTATTCAGTAAACATAAGGAAGAAAACATTCCTCAGGTCATC